CTTGTCCTGCCATACATCCAACGCAGTGTGCGAAGAGACCAGTACCATTTTCCTCGGTTGTAATCCACAATGTAACACACGGATCGTTCATTCTTTGCGAGTGCCTGACTTTTCCAGTAACAATGTAGTTTTTCCCTGTTTTGTGCCCCTTCGCACAGCTCACAAATCCTGAAACGAGCTGATTATACGCTTGCAAACTCCTAAAACCTTTAAATCGATCCTTGCTGTAGTAGCTTGTCTCAAGGACTAAAAATGATACCAAATCCATGGATTCGACCCGTGGCAAACAGTCTGGATCATATGCTTTGTCTGGAATTAAAATAGGATCGATACCAACACAAGAAGTCTTTTCACAGTAGCGTTTCTTCGCATGTGGATCGAGGTTGTTCGCATAATCGCTCAGGGGATTTGCCGCCATCTTAAAAAATATGGAACACCAACCTGGCGACTCAAATTTCCCGCGAAATTTGTGACGTCATGTGCGAACGCTCTATAAATACCCATTAGAACAAGCGCTGGCCCATGTTTTCCTCGATGGTACTTACAATGTCAAGAATTGAATGTTGAGTTGAGTTGAGTGCGCTTTTCGGAAGCCATATTGAGATGAAGAAAGTATGTCATTTTGCTCAATGAAAGATTCCAGTCTAGAGAGGATCAATTTTTCGAAGATCCTATTAAACAAGGACCCTGACTATAAAAGGACATTTGCCCTGGGCAAGCCGTCAGTCATTTCACCCCTGACACCGAACTGTCGACATCAACCAGTCCGTGACCGTGCGATATCGGCAAAACTATTGTAACCGAAAGGTCACTTGCAGCCAGTGCATATCTCAAACTTCTACGAATTTTGCCATTTTCGTTTACGGCAAAGAAAAGATGATCGGCTCCACTCAGTTGGCTCCACGGAATGTACACCCGCTTGCGATGTCATTTCTGTAAGGAAGGCAAACGGCCAGAGGGCTAGCGGTGAGGACTAGCTTTTATGACCTTTATTATCTTTCACAAAAATCCTCTTCTCATACCGGTTTTGTATTGTTGTAATAAAGTGGTTAGTTTCTTCGACGTTTTGTCTACGGGATTTCATGTGACACTTATACAAGAACTCCTCTGCAATTAAACAAGAGATCACGTTGGATAGAATTTTTATTTGAATCGCGCGCAACGATGAAAGTTAACAACACGTAGCTCATACCATATTTCCTCAAAAGAGCGGCCTGGCGCTCATTTAAAATTTCGACCAAAATTTGGGGTGCTTATTACTTTCCTGAACTGATTCCAAAATAGTTGCATGTGGAGCGTGAAAACTTATCAACAACGCAGCAATAAAAACAGGTTTTTCCTTACGTCCCTTTTACATATGAACGTGAGGGAGGGGGGTGCGATTATTCGAGAGGGGCGTTTGATTGACATGGTGGCCAAGGAAGTTGGCGCTCACTACGGTGAGGACGCCCATAGAGGATGTACGGTATTTGCCTAAAGCCTGGTTCACACATAATTGCAGACGTTCGCAGACGATCGCAGGTAATCGTACGATCGCTGAAACCACTCAAATGAAGATCGCGAATCGCATGTTCTCATAGATCGCAGCCGATCGCAGCCGGTCGCAGCGATCATGAACGCTGAGGACGCTACACTTTTAATAGGTGTTAACATTCTGCTTCTGTTGTCTTTACTTAAAGGGAGAATCGCTGCTTGATCAAACAAGAAACGTCGATTCTGGGTGCGGAAAGTCTTAAAGCGATTGAACAAACAATCGTATTTTCTAATTTCTTCCATAAACTGTTCTGTGTCAATTTCACCCTCATCTTGTCAAAAAACACGCATGTGTTAATAAAAAACTGGTTGTCATGGTATTATGCCGCTTAGAGTGCTGCAGGCTGGGAAAATAGCATTATGGGACACGTTCCAGTCGCATAATCGCAGAACTTTAATTTTGCTCACATGTGATCGCACTCGATCGCAGACTATCGCAGTCGATCGCACGAATCGAACATGGTTCTATTCATGCGATCGCACTCGATCGCAAACGATCCCAGAGCTGTTCACATATAATCGGAGACAATCACTGGCGATCGATTGTGATCGCCTGCCATCGTCTGCAATTATATATGAACCAGGCTTAAGCCAGAAAATTGAGATTCAATTTCAGACTTCGCTCAATACTAAACATTTATCATCACACGCCGAAAACATGTATATTTGTATCTTGACTTTTTAGCCGTTTGAGAAGTAAAAGTATTTGAGGACGTGAGGCAAATGTGCGGTTGTTCAGTAGAAAAAAAAGGGGGTTAGATAACCAAGGAGGTTTCCAAAAGATCAATCCTTGCAGTTGTTTTGATTTTCTTTACCGTCTGTGAAAAGAGATGGTATGGTTTCGAAATTCATCGTATCCTTGAACTTGCGGCTGACGAAGGCCTCCACATACAAGCTTCTTAGCGGCCTTCGGGTTTGTTTCTCCATTTTCTTTCCTTGATCATCACCCATACACCCAAAGTGCACGTAGCCAATA